TCTAAACGAACATTATGAAGGTTACATTTACGCTATGGAATGTACCTAACTATTTCTCGTTACATAAAAACTGTAATTCTGAACGTGTTAACAGGTACAACACATTGTCAAACGTCTCTTCACTGTTTGTGTTACGACAACCGTGTACATGGTAAGGGGCGCCCAGCGGGAAGGGGCGCTTCAATATCGTTTGCACCCCTATCCTAGAATACCTTCCGCCGCCACTGCCAGAGGCTCACCCGAGAACTTCGGCAGTGCTATGCGCGGCACGCTGTGGAGCTCGGTGTGACGCGCTGTCGTCTCTCTCTGTTGAGCTGGTGAGGCCTCAGGACTGTTCAGCCTCCTGATCCAGTCTGCTGTTCTCAGGTTGTTTTCACCAACGTTCGCGCGTTCATGCTCAACTTCACAATCGGCAACAGCAGCTTCGTCTCTGATGTCATCAGTCCTATCCAGATTGACTGTCCCTGACTCAATGGCTTCTTGCCGCAGTCGAGCTTCAAGTTCGGCTGTTTCAGCCGCTTCTCTAGCCGCCTGAATCTTCAGGTTAAATTCCTTTTCGCACTGAAGACGTTTTTCTTCCTGGCGACTCTTCAAGGCGGTCAGACGGGCCTGAATCACAGCCTCATGTGACTGAGCCACAGCTGCCGTCGAACGATGGGACGACGCTGCACCAGCTTCAGAAGCGGCCTCGGCAGATCTCGATTGAGGGTAAGTCATTATCTTTTGAACGATACTGTTCCGCTGCGCTTCGATTTCAATCATGTATTCGTTTGCCTTCGATTTCTCTTCCTCGTCCGTCAATACCAGCAAGTATGACTCATTGGAGTCCGTCACTGTGTCCATTGCACGGTCAATATCACCGAGCAGCTCTTGGAGAATGGTACGACTGCCTCGAACTGCGATCAGATTCTCGGCTCGATTGCAGATGCGTGTCAAACACGACTTCTTGTTTGCTCGGATCCGCTTCAATCTTGCTGCTTCGGGTGATTGATCCATGTTGATTATTTGCTGATGTTGAGCAGCACGATCATTCAGAGCATACGTTGTTATGCTTAGAAGCCATGCAATGCGCGGAACGTTACGTTATCTGTGGTCATTACATTAAGTGCGAACGATGCGAAACTCAAAAACGTAACTTAATTCACGATAATGACGTTAGAGCGAACGACGATATAACGCTCAAAGGTTGTTATTCGTGAACATTACGTTAGAGCGAACGAGACGACACACAAGTCACAAATTACGTTATCCGGCCCGGAGGACCAAAAAATGTTGCGAACGAATCGAATCCGGCCCCGATCGACCGGTAAAGTTACGAATATGCAAAATCCGAATAATACGGAAGTCGAATTAAAACTTGTTCCGAATCGATCAATCTATATTGTCCGCCATTTTCTCCTTCTAATTTCAACGAGTTCATTCACACGACAACAATAGCACCGACGAAATTCCGACTGCGTGAAAATATGCAAAATGGCGCGTGCCATAAAACACTGGAGCCGCTACGGCGGCGACAACATTTTACCTTTGGTGACCTCTGGTGACCTAACCTTTGACCTGACCCAAAAAATGACCTAGTGTTTTCGTCCTTATTTTGGACGTTCTTTCGATTGCCGCTTCCCACGTGTCGCTACGTGGCCCAGGAGCCGAGTTAGAAGGGGGGTGTTCAGACACCCCCCCCCCTCCGGCCCGGCGCGGAATCTCAGAGCACCGGCCCGGCGCGGGTTAAATAGGCCTAGGGTTGCACCTACATAAAAAGAGATGCACAAAACTAGCCATCCGCACCATGCCACGCGCTAAATTTTTGTATGCCGATGGCGCTGAGTCGTACGTAACAAAACGGACAGACGTTTTATTCAGCTCTTCTTCGTGCGTCTGTTCGCCGAGTACCGCTATTCCTGACAGCGGAGAGGAATTCGACAGCAGATGACTTGCGCGAGAACCAGGTATTAAGCCGGCACACAAACATCAAACTTCTGTCGTAAAATATTTCCGTAATTGTCGTCCATTATAGTGTAATTAGCAAACAGTAGAGAGAAGTTCTTTGCGCAGAGAGCTGACTAGAGAGCTAGGGTTTCTATCATGACTCGTTGACCTTCTGTTACAACACTTGTAGGTATGTACTGGTAAAAAAGTCATTACTTCGCCATAAGCATGGCGTAGATACGATTCCTAATTGGTGTTTCAAACTACAGCGATCTATTTTACAACATAAGAGTCGAGCCTTTTTAGCGGCAGCACTGAAGTATCGTTTAGCTTCAATTAAGTTAATGTGTCGAGAGTTTTTCACGAGGCCATTTGAAGAATTTTATATCTGTAACTGTTTTTTTATAGTTTTCATTATATAAAAAGAAGAGGTAGATAGAGGAGCGACGATTAAAAGTCAGCCAATAAAATGGCAAAATTAAAGACAGGAAAACTTTCATACTATGCTGTTATACCGTTCGTCGGGGCATCAAACGAGTGCGTCCCTGAACCACATCTGATCCATACGAGAGTAAATCCCATTCCATTGCCCCATAGTCCACCACTAACTACCAACCGACCCACCCGCATACCACCACGCCGCCGATCTGTCTTCAACATACCAGTGTCGCCGGAAGTCATACCTGAGCCATACAGGAACGGAAGGCACGCCAAAAGACACTCCTCGAGGCAGCTCAAGGCAAGCACGACCAAGGCTCTATGGAGGCACGGCACGACACGTCATACTCCACAAGCCTGGCGTAGCTGAGAGATGCCACTGTAGTTCCACCGGTATTGGGTCGACGCTAGCGGTATTCGACGAATAATGTCACGTGTTGGAGTGCCTGAGAAGCCGGCCTGTTCAGGTCACGGTTGACGATGAATGACGATTGAATGTACGAGTATTGTGCCAGCGCTACTACTGCTGTTGTGAAGTGGCCGAACGGTATGAGTGGGTACGAATGAGTGAGATGACTTTTTTAGCGGAATCGGCCGGGTGGAACGAGGTATTTGTGAGCGAACAAGGAGCTAGCGGGATCTGAAATCATGCGAAAAAGATAGCTTGTTGACCTGAGCTCTTCGGACTGACAGTTAAATCAACATACTTGAAGTATTCGCTTTTTTTCTCGAAACGACGCCAGCCCATGGCTCATGTGCAACTTTTTATCATTAGGGTTCCTGAACAGCTTGCTGTTTGTTTGTTTTTTTTTTTCTGGCAAAAGTATGACATACATTCTATTTCCTCCACGTCCAACCTCGATAAATCTTTAGGCCGACGACCGCGAACCAAAGTGGGCTTATGTCGTCTCACTTCGTGAGCCTCGCATCCGTCATGGGGAGATGTGTCACCCCTCCGTGACGTATGTGCGCGCGCAGTCACGGGACGCGTCACCTATCCAGCACAGTCCGTGACGGGACTGTGATACGGCTCGTGACGGCCGGGTGACGGATCCTCCGTGTGGTGATCCTTGTGATAGGACCTGGGATGTCACGGGTTCAGTGAAATGGGGGAAATGATGCTGTTGTCGCGGACAGTTGATGTTCAAAGGAAGTAAGCTGAAGTTGTTAGTTTCGAATGGGACTTATTTGACTGACAATTCAAAAGAAATTTTAAAGTTTGTGAGCGATATTGCATGTTAAGTCGCATAGAAATAATGAGACTTAATTATATGAATATACCTACCTAAGTACAAAAGATAATGCACTAAATTGGAGTAATGTCACATTACAACGGTAGGTAAGTAGGTAGCTATATAAGCAGTTAGCACACAAAGTCAACGGTCTCAAAGCTATGAATTCGCAACACATGGTGTGTCAAAAGTGGAAATAGCCGGTGCGCCGTCTGGCAACCCGGCAGCCCGCCGCCATAGGGAAATTCATGCTTTTTGTCGCTTTTTCGCTCCTTGTGAGTCACTTGATCTAATTAGAGCTTAACTAGGAACGAGGCGGGTCACTTGGACGTATTCGGGAGCCGAATACGGTGTTTTGGAGCCAATACCTGGGAAACCCTACCCGCCCAATGCGATTTTCTAAGAGTCTGCATGCCCAAATTAACGTTGAGCGCGGCCGTTTTCGGTCGGTTTTCCGCGACCTTGTGGCGAAATCGCCTTATTTATTCAACCAGGGTGGGCTAATTCGCTTAACTAGGAATGAGGCGTTGAAGAGAATTATTCAAGGAATAGAGCTGTGCAAAAATATTTTTTGTATTGTCAAAACTGTATCCGCCCTCGAACGATAAATATTGTTGACCCATCAGAAACATATCCCCTGGAAGGCGTTTGGACTTGGCTGGATCTAATATTAGCGAGTATCTGCTAATGCAGTTTCTTGGCTTACACAGTACGCACACAAGCATACATACCTCCTGCCCTTGGTTATTCCTCACTTGAATGAAAATTTTGCTATAATAACTATTCCAAACAGTTAACAGGTTTTAGTGCAGTGCCAAGTCGGAACCGTTCAGCGCCGCCAGTCTCCCAGGCGGCGCGTAACGGGCGCCGCCGGCCGCCGCGCCGCCGCTCTGGCAGGGTGTTTGACTTCATATCTCTGTCGCTGGAAAAGTTGTGGACCGATTTACTTGATTCTTGCATGAAAAGATCCGCCATTAAATTCTTAGCAGATAACGAAAATTTGACGTCAATTGCACGATCAGCTGCCCATATTGTGGTACTGCCATCTATTGACAAGGCTGGCGAACTAAAGCCGGGCGGCTATTTCCACTTTTGACACACCATGACTTTTGCTCTCAGCCTTGGAGACGTCAACCCCTCAGATCCCACTCTCTTACCCCGGGCATATTTGCATATGGGAGTGGCACCCCTTCGCAACACTGTTGCGCAACTCAATGCATAACCCCCGATAAATCACTCAAACATCCATGGCAACCTTCCAACCATCCTACCCATTCAATTTCCCCACTGGGTGCCTCCGAGCACTCGTAAGGTCGTCGGCCCGCCTGCTCAAGCCGTGAAATTGGCCGTATGGCGGCGGACGGTGTGCTCGGGCGCGCCGTCTTGGCTCTGCGGCTGAAAGTCGGCGACTCGGCGCGCAGGCAGTCGAGTGCGGACGGTGCGGCGGGAGGGGTCGGTGTGGAGCCAGTGCGTTGCGGAGGGTGCGAGCGAGGCTGAGTAAGCGTGTGAGCAGGAGGTGGAGGCTTGTGTGTGTGTGATTGAAGGAAAGTGATTATAGAAGAAAAGGTTACGGAGTGAGGAACGTGGCATCGAGAGGTTGGAGCTGGTCAGGTGAGGAACCAGGGAAGAATAAAACTGTACTTTACACTGATATAACCATTTGCCATTGATACTATTTTAGATCTGTTATCTATCACCTGCTGCAGTAAAAGAACGTAAACACAGCGTTTCTCAAATCGGTTTTAAAGCACGAGCACTGAAAAGTGAATAAAGTGGAAATAAAGTCTGCGGTGACAAGAATGTCTAATGGGCAGTTGACACAACAAGCACTTCATCATTGCTTTATTTGGCTCACAATAGCTGTTTTCATCCTTCTTCTCACCCTCTCAGCTATTCCTTAACAAGAACCGCCACACATCACCCGTTTATGCATCCTGTCGGAGCCTGCGGCACCTAGATGATAATTTACGACTTCAACCAGACTCAACGTGTCGCTAAGCACGGACACGGGGCGGGAAGAACAGCCATTTATCTTCTGTAGAGCTGCCATGGGAACCGTTTAGTTCGGATCATTTATCCAGCGGAAGGTGAAGAATATGCTGGAAGTTTGTACTGGTGAAGATAATTATCCAGAGAAGTGTGAGTGATGAATGTTAATGTATCCGTGTGTATATGGTTTCGAAATCCCGCCATGAATGTGTAATCTGGCTTTTGGGGCTCTTTGCCCTCTGGAGTGTTATTCTAAGCAGAAACTTCAATGGCATCGTTCCACTCGATGCTTATTTACAAAAAGAAATAATTGTTTTATTAATCGATCCACACTTCAGACTTATGGATGTAAGCAATGCAGACTTATGTACATGGCCTTATTCGAATGCAATTTGAGACACTTCATGATTTCCGTGTAATTTACCAAGCTTACAAAATCAATTTTGGCGGAGTGTATTTGAATTTTTTACAGCAGTGTGGCTAATGACACGCACTCAAGTAAGATAATAACACTCCTTGACAGTGTCTAATAGACAATTCGGTATTGATAATGTATGTCATTTGCATTGAACAGTTGCAAGCACGTTCCCTTTCAACGCATTTGGTATTTATAGAATACACCCAGCCATGAACCGATCCTCAGGCTTCGCCAAGCCTCACACCTCATCAAAATTCTACACCATCATCCCCCAACTCTCGATTTCTATTGCCTGACGAGGCACGATCTAAAAGCCTCATCGACTCGGCAATCGTTTTCACCGTTCACTAGCGCCAGCCCCCCCCCCCCCCCCCATCGGGAGATAAGCTGATTGGAGTACAAATATGGCCGTGATGGTAGGCAGAGGCTCAGCTCTCAAGCAGGGAAAGTTTGGGGTCTTGGCGCAGGCTCGATCATTGCTTACATAATCAGTATTATCTGCTGTATAGTGGCGGGTCCGTCACTTTCACTGAGTCATTAAAGACGGCGTGTTAAATGGAGGCTGTTAGAGACGAGTGGCCTGGGCAGTCTGGGCAGCGTGGATTAGTCATAGGGTAGATAAGTGAACAGATAAAGGTTACACTTGAGTAGATATAACGGGATCTGAAGGCTGGCTGACCACTGAGCTGGAAAATAAGATTCTGACCCGAAATGGAGCCTGTCGTGTTATTTGCATATCGGTAAAAACGGTAGACAAAGTAAAGCTACAAATTAGAGGATGACACACAACTGCAACATATGCCGCATGACATGAGTAAGATAATTCACGCACAGTACTGACGGTTTGACCCCTCATCCCCGCCTGCAGTACAAAATCCGATAGTAATTGTGCATTTGTTTACCAAAGTACTAATGATGTGCCTCAGATTAGCATAGCATGCATCAATTTATGTCTTTCTTGTAGTCCAAGCTGATAGGTACCTATGTGGCTTGCAATGACCTTTGTGAGGATCCTTCATTTATTAGCCACTCGAAGTTTACCACCACTCGCCATCCATCACCACCTTACTGTGACCCATCCCGCGTGACCCGGCACACCGTCACGCTCGGCCGTGACGCCGTGACGGTGTGCCGTTACCGCTCCGTGACGCTACCCGTGACGGTAACCGTGACGGGCATCGTCTTGGACTGCGGGCACCCTCAGCGGTTCAGTGCGGGGCCAGGCGGAGTTTGGGGTCAAGCCAGTTTTTTCCACCGTTTATTTCAGTGGGCTATCAACTTCGTATAATATTGAAAAGGTGTATTAAATGGTATAATATTTGAATTGAACTGAATTTTTCAGTCAAGCGATTCGTATTTAAATATATTCTCCAGCAAACGAAATGTCTTGTGAGCTCTTATTAACGTTAAGTATGAAGTGATGAAGTCATACAGTACTAAGATCCATAAGCTTAATGTATTATTTGGAATTTTCATTTACGGTGAGAATGAGTGGTGAGCACTGAGCGCCGAACGGTGCCCGGACGAGTGACGCGACTCCAATTCGAGACCCATTCCAAACAGTCCAACCAGTCCAGACCCATTCCAACCATATTCGTGTCCACATTGCAAGCCTGTTTGTCTATGCATTCCAACACACCTGTTCTTGATCGTTAGCCAGGTGTCAACGCCAACTTTCCCTACACAGCCACCTCGGCTGCGAGCCAGCTGTCAGCTGAAGGGGTATAGGGGGGGGGGGGGGGGGCTCATGACGAGACGGTGATGGGAGAAAGTTGCGACAGCTCGCCCCTCTCGTCTCGTCGTCTGGCCGTCTCGCCTCACGCATCTCGCACCGTCTCGCTGTCAGATGCTTATCGCTGCTTGCTCAGCCTGTCGTAACCTCTCGACTAATCCCTGCTTCTTGTTGTCCTGGCTGACAATTGGTGGTGGTGGACGTTGACATTGTGTTTGGGTCAGCCTGTTATCCGTTGATTAGGCTACGCTCGGCAGGTTCGGTAGATCTTAGATATACTCAACATCCGAGAGCAATTAAGAATCCGGTTACTCTTCCTGTAATTAGTTTATCTGGCTGCTTATGCAAGCCGTGGGTTGGATTGGCGAGCAATGGTTACGATTCTACATAAAATTCCCGTATTTTTACCAGTAGGCATAAAGTATTAAGTAGGTAGGTAGGTATACCAAGTTAAAGCACTAACGACTTTGGCAAATGTATGACGTTTTCAACAGAAGATACGTCGTCTGTGGATCATATGTTACTTTGCCATGCTGGCCGAATGAACTTTGAAACACCTGGCACCGCGATAGACAGGAAGCCAGCCAAGTGGTGAGTGGCGCCGATGACGGCTCTAAAGGCCGTGGGACACTGCGGCTGACCCGAGGTGGCAATCTGGCAACCGCCGGCGACGCCAGACGCCGAAACTGGAGCCCACAGCCGCCAGTTAGGTGGGAATTGGCACTCGCGTGAAATTTACCGCGATGATGAAAATGGACGGGGAAGTGCCATAACAGTATGAGTAGCCACACCATTAATGGCTTCAGATGGTATAGAGAGACTCTGATATTGAAAGTCTCTTCTGTTGCGCATACATCAGTTTAATGTTGTAATATTTGTATAGCCTCAGAGAAGGTATCTAAACTGAATGCACCTTTACAAAGGTGAAATGCCACCGAGACAGACAAACTCATGAGGAAGACCGGCCATGCACAAAGGACGACAATCTCAAGCCTCGATAACTTACAGGAGCACAAGTCTCGCAAACAACGCATCGGCACAACACACACCCACACAGACACCTTACACACAAACACACAAACACCCGACACACAAGCGTACTAACGAATGTAGGAGCTGGTGCTCGTGAGAGTCGACACCGCGCTGTGGTTGGATTTTGTCGGCCAGTGGCACAGTGTCGGACACCAGCTGGTGGCGTCGTCTGGGGAGCGAGCTGGTGCAGGGACTGGTGCTGGGCCTTTGTGGCGATGGTGCCGGAAAGGTCTGAAGAGGTCAGAGTGTTTACTGACTGTTGGTGATTGAGTTGGCACGGAAATTGTGCCGAAAAGGTACCGAGTATGCTGCTGGAGTGGTGCTGGGCTGGTGCGCAGGCCATATGGTGCTAAATTATAACTGTGAAATGGTGTTGTATCTGGTGCCAAAAATTGCGAAGAGTTGGTTTGGAAATATGTCGAACCAATGATGTAATGGTGAGACGATATTGGAATAATGTCGTGCTTTCGAGTAATAACTGAACTGCGAATCAAAATATATTTCAGTCTCACTCCGCTCCGAATCATCATCTCCTTCGATCTATGCTTTCCTCTCTCTACACCTTCTCCCTCTCCCTCTTCTCTTCCTCACCCTCTCCTTCCCACCCCACCTCGTCCGGTAACCAACAACACCTCAGCAGCAGCCAGACCGCTCCGCTGGCCGCCCTAACTACCCTGGGAACTGAACCATCCTCCACCTAACGGTGTCTTCCGTGCAGAACACACCGGCAACTTGTGTACTGCGCCGGGACGGAAACAGAGGGGACGCTCCGAGGCTAACAAACGATGCGGATGCTATTGTGACTTTGGGTCCCGTTCTCTTCAGAGCTGGAATTAGAGTAGATGCTGAATAGTAATTAGGAATGTCACAGGAATGTCTGAATAGGAACATGTATAGGAAGGTAGTTACGCCGATGTGAATGTTGTTATGTTTCGTGGTTGTTACGGCTGGCTTTGGATGCTTCGTAATTGGCGGAATAGTGCTGGCGAAGTTTTTGGGTGAAAAGCGTGATAACCTGGCCGCAAAACCGCCTGTTTTTTGCCACATACCAGTGGACAACAAAGCCAGGAAGCGCGCTTTTCTGGGTCATTGACTGAGCCCGGGCCCACTCCCCGGCGAGTCTTTCAAAGTTCGGGCTGGCTGCGTGGCGCTCGCTTTTGATTGTCCACCACGCTATACAGTTCGCATTGCTCACGGTTCGGTCACGGTAGGCATGGTCGTGCCGCGTCGCCACGGGGTGTCTGAGGCTGTTTGGCACGTGCTGCGCCACGTGCTGTGCGGTCACGACCGTGTCCGGCACGGCACATTGTCCGCGCACGTGCTTTGTTTGATTGGAGATGCGTGACCCTGTCTGTATCTGCGAGGAGGATGGTCGGTTCTGTGCGGCTTCAGGTGACGTGCAGTTGGTGTGTTTGCTGTTGCAGTGATTTTCACCGAGCTATGAGAGAAGACTGCTATTGCAAAATATATTAGAAATGGCGTGATCAGCATGTCTACCTTTATAACAAAGCCCGGTGAAGTACAACAATCATTGCTTATGTCCCTTTTGCCTCAGTGATCTAGATACAATCAACAACTCATCACTGTCGTCCTCCTTTGCACGAGGCTCGAGAATCCTCCCTACCCAGCTAGCTGACCAACCCAGTGCCACTGGTTAATGTGAGAGTAACCCGTCTGACCTGAGCGAAATTTGCTGGCTCAGACGACTACCTAACCGGAAGTCACTTCTTTCCGGTGCAGCGAGCGGCGCCAAGTCGGTCACGGCAGCGGAGGCGGTGGAACGATGATGTAAAGATAATGCAAAGCAGAATGATACCAAAAAAGAACATACCTAATTGGAATACAATAATAAAGTCAATCACTGTAGCTTGATAATATGCAATAATAATAAGCCGCTTTTCATCCGACACTTCTTAGGCATAGATAATCAGCGCAATATTTATCAACACCTCTGTCTTACGCAAAAACTCATTGATAAAATCACTAGACAGTGATGTGCCCATAAAAAGTTTCACAATCCAGCAACATTAATAAATTAAAAATCATAGGTGCGTTATCCGCAATACCCAATCACACACATTACACTACAATGACCATAACTAAACGCCTGGTCACGTCACGGGTTGCTGGGATCCCCTCCCCTCCCCCACCCTCCCCTCTCGTCTGCAACTGACACCAGTCACCGTCTCAGTTTGGGTCAAGGATGAGTGAACAGTCGACGAGCAGTCTGCAGAGGTCAACGGTCAAGGTACAGACTTGCACAGGCGAGGCACGGATAAATTCAAGGTGCGGCGGGCATTGTTCTGTCGTTTGAAAGGTTGAGTGAGTGGCTGTGGGCCAAGTTGTGCCTAAAGAAATAACCTCGAAATCGCTCGTACTTCTGCAGAACGGTGCCCGTTAGCTGCAAAGCAGAAACTCAACGGAAATGGAAACGATCAAACTACACCAGTGAAGGGCTGATATTCGTATCATGATCTCAGTTATTGAAAGTCCCCATTCTCTATTCTTTTATGGCAGAGAAAAGTACTTTCCCAGTTGCATTGCACCGAACTAGTGTCTGCGCACCAGGAAAACGAGCAGTTGTGTGTCTCGTTTGTCCGGTTCGGCTACTACAACGTTTCCGATTATGGCTCAGTGAAAGCTTGTGTAGGTGCCTATGTACAGTAAAGCAGCACTCGAAAGCGTGCTTCGGCAACTATAATAGTTTAGTAGCTACGTCAAAGTTTGTATGACTTCGCTAGATGGAGCTAATCCAAATGGTCTGGGTCTGGTTGGGTGGCGGCTTCTCAAAGTCTTTTGCAAGCATAGGCGTTTTTTAGATGTCCCCAATATAGAAAAATAAGTGCGCTGTTTCCACACAGTGTTTTATGCTACAATGCAGGTAGCATCGCAATATAGTCGCTAAGGCAGGACAGCTTCCATAAAAAGAACAATCAAGCTGGAAGAGAAGGGTTCTGGTTCTTTTTGGGCTGTATATTGAATAGAAGAGAGAACGCATATGCAGCCTGCAAAGTGACGAGATTGCGTCTTACTATAGCGCAATTCACAAACACGGACACGACAATTATTTACCACACAAACTGACGGTTGCTGCCACTTATCCAGGCTTTGTTACGTCAGTCTCTTACCAGCTGCACAAAAGCAATTATGCTGCTATATGGCCTGTCTCCATTATGTCATTGATCTAGAGTATAATCGTTCTACCAGGGAGAAAAGACTAGCGATGTAATTATCAATGTCACGCTGTCATGGTATTGTTTGGTACGGTCCTCATGCTCTATTCAATCTTTTCTGTTACGTGAGCTATGGACCCATGTCCCATGAACTCATTCTTCGGAGGCTTGTGTAAGTGGTGGCTAGACGGATGTCATTCGAATGTCTATGACATTAACTAAGGGGTTTTAAGATATTTTAACATTGCGTTTTCGTAGTTTACCGACCGGAAAGTGTTAGGAAGTCACATAATTCAAGTTGTGGCACGAAATTAATACCGTCAAATATGCAGGTAAGACTAATCGAATGCCGACAAGCTCGTTAACGAAATATTTTATGTCGATATTAAGCACTTATGTCGGTAGTGATGTACCGATAGGGCGCCAGTAAATTTGTTAGGCATTAAGATGATGTTTTATCACTCGAATGATAGGTAGGTAAAACGAATATCAAAAGACTTGTGTCCACAATGAACAATCCGGCTATTTTCTTTCTCTCTTCCATTATTTCTCTTTTCCCTCTTGCTCTAACTCTTTGTCTCTCTCCTCTCTCTCTCTCTCTCTCTCTCTCTCTCTCTCTCTCTCTCTCTCTCTCTCTCTCTCTCTCTCTCTCCTCTCTCCGCCCACTTCCCTCTCTCCCCTTCACTTCCCACTTCCTCTCCATCCGCACCCTTCCCTATGTTGTAACCGCCGGTAAAGTCACCGACCCTCGAGCATGATTTCAAAACAAACCGAGTAGCCACCAGAGCCCCGGGCACGACAGTCGAGAAAGTGAGAGTGAGTCGAGAAAACTTGTCTGGAATGCGGCCCGGAGAGGAGAGAGGGGAGAGAGGTGTGAGGAGGAGGTGGTTGGCAGGCGGAGCACGTGCGCTGGTGGGGATTGGATGGGGGAGGGGAGGAGGGAGGGTGCTGGAGAAATAACCTGAAACTCACGGGAGATATATGATAAATAGCTTGCCTTTTTGCTGTTGATTCTGACTGATGCACTCTTGTGGGTAGCCGTCTTCTTTAGCAAACGAGAGTTGAAATAACCGCTCATCTTTCTGCCCCTTAGGTGAAAACGCAGTCATTACAACTAAGAAGGAGTTTCGCACGCATCAACTTCTTAATAAAACGTAAAACGCTTGCCTCGTCGGAAACTTTTACGTAGCCTGTCGCCTGATTGCAGAACAATAAAAAACCTTTTATCATATCAACGGACGTTTACATTTCCCCATCTTTACTTACCCATCCTTGTAATCGGACCTATGGATGCCGTCTCACAAAAAGGTAACGTAAGAGAACAGCTTCAACAAGAGCAAAAATAAAACACAGCAATTAATCAATGAAAAACCTCGCAAGGATCGTGGGTTGAGTAACTGAGAAATAAGTAAGATTTTATAATGACGCTATTCTTTCTTTCTGTTTCAGAGTTTGGCGCTGACGCCGCCTGCTATGAGATAGACCATCCATTGCACGAGGACGTTCTTCAACCAGTGACGTCACAACTTAACGACAACCATGACGTCATCAGGCCTCAAGGCCGGTTCGGGGATGAACGATCTGCTGATCTATAACTCCAGCCAGGAGTCCCACGCCACGTCGAAAGGGTCACTCTACCCGGCCAAAGTCGCCTTCAGTCTTGGTATGGGCAAGGTAAGAAAATAAAGGTTTTCCCCCTAATCTGGTAATCATAATTCTCATATAAATGTAACGCACGCTGAGCTGCTCAAGCAAGAAAAAATCCAAAATCTATGAATGAAGAGGAGAACCCATCGTTGCATTAAAAAACAAAACGAGCCATCACTCATTATAAAACTATATACTTATACGTTGCGGGCGAGGAATAAGCCGTTCAGGTGAATCATGAAGGCAAATGACAATTTAATGCTAAACGGGGAGATAATTACCAAGACTAAGCCCGGGCCAGAGCACAGCGACGCATGGTGTAAAACGTCAAGCATCAACCACCGTCTAACGGTTCTCGAGTTCCGTCGACTGGGTGTGTTAACGACAGGGGCAGGGGCGGGAGCGGGGGCGGGTCGCGGTGGGTGGCGGTAGTCCGGCGGTCACTAACCCTGCGTTACGTACACACACACACACACACACCACCCCAGCTCTGTGGTACCGTGGGATAATAAGGCGGCGGGCTCCCACGGAGGGGTGGCCGGTCAGCACCGGAACAGAACGCGGTTCGCTAGAGCGGTGTTGGTTCAGCGGCTCGTAAACTCGGATATTTATATAAATATTCATTTGCCAACGCGATGATACCCCGTCAAATCGGATCCATTGCTTCTCGGAAGTTTCCTTTGTGGCATGTAAAATATCCGAAACTCGTTGAAAAGTGAATTGGATGTGACGTCAACTTGTCATCTTCACGGATGCGAAAATGCCGATCGGACCTGCCGATTAAAATTGAATAAACTGATCCAGAGGGATGCTTACATGTATGCAGGACTTTCAGGTACCTAATGGTGTTTTAGGATTAAAATTGCTCCGTATTCTAAGCGTGTTCAAGAACTCGCCCAATCACCTCAAAGGTGTTTCAAACTCAACTACATATAGCGTCTCACGCACCCTCTATGTATATGTGCTCGGCCCCTGTCTCCGATGCTTCCGGCGATTTACCCTCAGCCACCCGCCTTTTCTTATTCACGCTCCCCCAGCTGCCCGTCTAACCATGGCAATTCACGCTCCCCCGCAGCCCCATCTAACCCTGTTCCCGCTCCCTCAGCTACTTCTTGGTCTCCTCCTGCTGGTGTTTGGCGTGCTGGCGCTGCTGCAGGGCTCGTCACAGGCATACCTGGGAGGCGGCCTCTGGGGCGGCGTCTGTGTCATCGTCTCCGGCACACTGGGCATCATGTCCAGCCGACGACCCTGCACCTACTTCTATCTGGTGAGGAGTTCGTAGTTTCGGGAGAGTTGAACTCTTGCAGGTTTTATAGCAGAAGTTACATAATTATGAAACCCTTGGAAGTTAAATTTGTGGCAAATACCACTGCCCCGAGACAAGCAAGAGGGAGGTAGCGACTGTTGCTTATGTCTAACTATCAAATGCCCAACTCATGTGTTGTACTTTCAAGCCATACTGTAAACTATGTGGTGGCAACGATTCGAGCAAGAGTAAGACTGCAGTGATAAGGTACAGTGTTGTTGGTCAACTTTTTATACATTTTATCGAATGTGTGGTTTGACATCATTCCTTCCCTCGCCTGCAGGCGAGCTTCATGGCCATGTCGATCGTGTCGCTGGCCGTCTCCGGACTGGTAGTCATCTTCTCCACCATCGGCTTGATCCGAGACGACGCCAGCTCCAGGGCCGTCTTCGTCAATACGGTAAGAACCGGCTGATTCCAGGATTAAAGGGAATGATCTGATCCGCGAGACGACGCCAGCTCCAGGGCCGTCTTCGTCAACACGGTAAGAAACGACCGATATTCCCGGTATTGTTGGACTGAATCTGGACGACGCCAGCTCCAGGGCCGTCTTCGTCAACACGGTAAGAACCGGCTAATCCCAGGATTCAAGGGAATGATCTGATCCGAGACGACGCCAGTCTTCGTCAATACGGTAAGAGTCGACTCATGATTGACACCGGTGTTGTTGGACTGATTCGGGACGACGGCAGCTCCAGGGATATACTCGTCAATACGGTAAAAGTATTTTCCGCTTCCCCTTCGAGCTGCCAGCAAACATAGAGACAATTAGCTATACTATGCGTAACCAATCTCAACGCAAACCTCACAACCAAGTCCCTCCAGGAAAACACTGTAGCTGTACAAAAAGGGGCTATTGGTATATTCAGCCCAAATGAACACGACACAAACATACTAGCAAGTATACAAGTCTCAACCGAGACTGCCCTGCCAACGGGCCGCCACCCCTCCCCCCGCGCGGCGCAATGGTGTCCCCACCCAAACTAGAAACCCTGTCGTGTGTGTCCTCCCCCGGAAAAAGTCCTAACTAGAAAAAAACCGGGGGACCTAGCTGGGGAAAAACCACATTTTGTGGAAAAAAAACATCTTTATTTAAGAGTGTGGTGCGTGTAAAAAAAAGTCCCAAAAATGGTGGTGGGTGGGTGGGAAACGCAAAAACATTTCAGAGCGAGAACACTGCTGACTTGCGTCAGACCGGACGGCTTAGAACAGAGTGACCGCGCAAATGCACTCAAACCCCGCGCCGTCACCGTCACGTGACACAAGTCGCTCCACCAATCAGAGGAGGCCGCCGCCTTAGCGGCCTTGCCGCCCGGAGGCGCAGGCGGCCGCTCGCCTGCCGCCGAACGCTGCTCGCCGAGGCCGGCCCGGCTCCGGGGCCGCCCCAGAGAAGACGCTCGTAGTATCGCGGAAAAACCGGTTATATCTAGTCATATATAACCGGGCGTATTTTCCGCTTCCCCTTCGAGCTGCCAGCAAACATAGAGACAATTAGCTATACTATGCGTAACCAATCTCAACGCAAACCTCACAACCAAGTCCCTCCAGGAAAACACTGTAGCTGTACAAAAAGGGGCTATTGGTATATTCAGCCCAAATGAACACGACACAAACATACTAGCAAGTATACAAGTCTCAACCGAGACTGCCCTGCCAACGGGCCGCCACCCCTCCCCCCGCGCGGCGCAATGGTGTCCCCACCCATTCAATACATCCACCCAGACACCAATGCGCCATAATAAAACACCCCCTTCCCGAGACCAGCAGACCGAGTGGGGGATACAAATTAACACAAAAGACCTACAGTCGCCGCCAGGGTCGAGACCAGTGGCGGAACCCACCCAAATACGTGCTTGGTTGAAGGTAGGTAATTATTTCCTCAACCTGGCCCGAAGCTTACCAGAAACGCCACGATCCCTTAAACCTGCCAACATGAATGTGAGCGATACAGCGGTCACTAATGAAGAACAATATTACGGCATTTATACCGAAGCCCTCACATGACTAACAACCAGAAGATTAGCCACTACTGCGATGATAGCCTCCACCAAGTAAAGGCCCTCGATATACCCGCCGAAAAAAACAACCATCCATGAGTTCTGAGGCATCTGCCAACGGAAGCTGTATTTTCCTTTACCTTGAACCCTATGCACATGCCTATCAGCGCGACCATTAATTTTCCCAGAACTTTGGAAGGGGTTAGAACAGTATCAACGAAGGTCGTTGACAGCCGCCCAGCAAAAAAGGGGAGGGCTCTCAGCCCGCTCCAGGAATCAGGCTGTTGTAGGAGGGACGCCTGCGGGCAGACTAGCGAGCTGCCCAGAGGCCGTGTAGAAGGGACACCCCCGGGCAGACTAGCGGGCTGCCCCGAGGCCGTTGTAGAAGGGGACACCCCCCGGGCAGACTAGCGAGCTGCTCCGGGGTCGTTGTAGAAGCGGACACCCTGGGGCAGACTAGCGAGCTGCCCCGAGGCCGTTGTAGAAGGGGGCGCCCCGGGCAGACTAGCGAGCTGCCCCGGGGTCGTTGTAGAAGGGGACATCCTCCCCCCGGGCAGACTAGCGAGCTGCCCCGGGGTCGTTGTAGAAGGGGACACCCTGGGGCAGACTAGCGAGCTGCCCCGAGGCCGTTGTAGAAGGGGGCACCCCGGGCAGGCTAGCGAGCAGGCCCGAGGCCGTTGTAGAAGGGGGCACCCCCGGGCAGACTAGCGAGCTGCCCCGAGGCCGTTGTAGAAGGGGGCACCCCGGGAAGACTAGCGAGCTGCCCCGGGGTCGTTGTAGAAGGGGACACCCCCGGGCAGACTAGCGAGCTGCCCCGGGGTCGTTGTAGAAGGGGACACCCCCGGGCAGACTAGTGAGCTGCCCAGGGGTCGTTGTAGAAGGGGACACCCCCCGGGCAGACTAGCTAGCTGCCACGGGGTCGTTGTAGAAGGGGACACCCCCGGGCAGACTAGCGAGCTTCACCCAGGACTTGCAGAATTGGGCATCCCAAGATTCTCCGAATGTCTAGGGCAATTACCCGACCTGAATACCAAAAATACCCGCTTTTGAAATCTGATAGTATCCGCATCACCCGCCACGGGCAACAAGCTTGCCTTTCCGCGAAGCTCCGGATTGATCAGAGACCAAATGACCGGCATACAGACAGCCCCTACGCTGTAAACAGGCCAATATGGGTATAAAGGTTGCTGTTGCTTCCTAGCTCGACACGTTTAGGAGGAGCTTACTGCCTCCAAACGCCGAGCTGGCTCAATGTCACCCATAGAAAGTACAGTAACTCACCCACCAACCAACCATAGGCAGGTCCTGAGTGACGTCAACACTGATGCTGGCGAGGGGTACCAGTGCCCCAAACTTTGCTGATTTAGGTGGGAAACGACATCCAAATGAAAATCATTTTTCACTCGCCTCCATTTTTTGAAGCCCATTTTCCACTCCCAATTTTACCAAGAAAAAGCATTTGCATGGATCGATAGCCATTTTACTTCCCATATACCAGCCTTGTATTAAATTTTGCTGTACATTCTTTTTCCACTCTTTTTAGGCCTTATCTGACCATCAATTTTGCACCCTTATCCCTTATTTGGTGAATAATTTTCATAGACCCGGGAAACAGGTGGGCAGCGGGGGCCCTTGCCCCCCCCCCCCACCTGAGAGCCGAGGGGACGGCGCCCCCTCAACATTGAGGCAGCGAGAAAGGATCTTTCCTCCCTTTTCCGGACTTCCTTTTGTTTCCTTTATACATCTAAACATCAACACACGGCATTTTCCTTGCCATCTGAATGGTTTCTGCTGTTACAGTATCGATTTGACATCTGCCGTTGCCATCCCGCTTTTGTTTGGGCCTGGCCTTGGCCATAAGTTTGGCAGGCCAGCTTTTATACTGGACCATTTTGAGTCAACCTTGAGAAATACCCAACGTACAACGGTGGTAAAATCGTTGCTACAGGTATAACACAGGTTACCCGCTCCGGGTGTAAGGGAGGGGTGTGGGGCAATGAGTGCACTTACGTGGCGTCCTTGGAAGGCCGGTATGGGATTAAAAGCTCAGCGACACTAAGGGCTTGTATGGTGTCTTCGGTTATCGTTAGCATTCTCAGAATCACCGGCGTAGGGCCCTCAGAGCCGCCGGTAAGGGGCCTTTAAAGGCACTGGTGTGGGAATGTCATGCAGGTGCCGGTGTGGGCGCTCAGAGGTGCCAATATGATTCTCTCAGAGGCGCCGGTGAGGGTCCTTACAGGCGTTGCTGTGGGCCCTCATAGACGCTGGTGTGGAGCCGTTACAGACGGGTGGGGGGCCTGAGCTGGTGACGCGAACCCTCTACAAGCCGGCAGGGGGTCTCAGTGACCGGCAAGAGGCCCTTAGGCCAGCAGAAGAAGTTATGTGGGGTCCTTAGAGACCGGCATGGTACTATCATACGCCGTGGGGCCCTGAGAGTCACCGGACCGGTGTGGGGCCCTCAGAAGTCACCAGTGGGTGACCTTTAGATGCGCAGGTATTGGGTAGGGTAGGGATTCGGGTCCTCGCTCCGAGTCGCCGATATAGGGCATTAATAGGCACTAGTGTAGGCACTCAGAGTTGGGGATGTGAAACCCTCAGAGACACCGGTGTGGGCCCTCATAGGCGCCGACTAGGGCCCCCACAGTTGCCGTTATAGGGCCATCAGAAAAATAATTGTGGGACCATCACAGGCGGGAAATGCCCCTAGAACTGGGCCCTCATAGGCCGGTAAGAACTTTCAGAGGCCAGTAACGGGCCTTTGGAGACCACTGAGGGGCCCTTATAAAAGCCCAGAAGGCCCTCAGAATCCGGCGTGGGGCCCTTAAAGAGGTCTTAGTGTGGCAATTAGGGTCCATGAGGAGCTCTAACGAGCCCCATGGGGCCCTTCTATATGGCCATTGTTAACCCCCAGTGGTCAAATGGCGCCGCAGGGCCCCTCGGACCCGAGGCTCCCTTTGAACCCGATGGGGAGGTGGGGTACGCGTCCCCTTAGACCCCTAGCTACGCCACCGTTTCACATGCATTAACGCCAGGTATTTTATATGCTCGCCCCCCCCCCCCACACCTTGAAAATCGTTCCCGGGCTCCTAGGAATTTTCCTTTGACACCCAAGCAAAATACAATTTTGTGACACTGAGGGAACTCTCAGTCCTAACAACGCATACTGACTTCCTTCATTTTAACTATTAATGATAGTACCTAACCTGTATTGTTCAATGTTCATTCGCTGTTTTGCAGGAGAAAGGTCATCTCATATTTTATAGCGACAAGTAGAAATAATTTGCTAAGAAATAGACCGCTTTGAAGATAGTTACAGACGATTTAACAACCCTCAGCAGCAGCAGCAAACCAAAGTTGAAAACACGTCTAACGTTAGACTTGATATAGATTTCATTGTTTATCTTCGGGCTTCGCCTAACGATTTTATCACAATTTTATATACTATCATAGTATCTTACTTTCCACCAGCATTGCCCTCATGTCCCTATTGGTGGAACCAAACATCCCCTCAAAAATGCCGATATCGCCCCTGCCCAAGCGTTCACAATCCACCCTATCGAGTCCCCTAGAACCTCCATTAACAGATATGTACGGGGCCCCGTACATGGAATAACGTACCTTTCAAAACCCCGGCCACCCTGGCCTATACCTGACGATGTCCCGTAAGACCTGCTAGGCAGCACCACTGGAGCAAGATGAGCTGGGAGGGGTCGGAACTCCCTCAGCTGACACAGGAGCTGTGAAGGAATCCTTCAGCGGCCAGAGAAGACTCTGGCAAAGCGGGCCGGCCCCGCCGAGTGTGCCGATCCGTCGCCGTTCAGAGTCGGATGCCAAACACCAAGCCATGGAAGAAGAAAAAAAAAAACAGATTGTGTCACATAACCATTTTTAGCCGAAATCTCGTATCAAAAGGGGCTATATATACCGGGGTCATTTATCTGACAATGCGTGTGATGACATAGCGGCAGGATATGCATATTGCATACCAATATTACTATGATGATTGTCGCTTATGCATGCCTAGGCAATGCTCTGTTGACCAACGACAAGAAAGGCACCCCAACCTCGCCAAAAAAAAAAAAAAACGATTTACAAACGACACTACCATAAAAAAACGAAACACAGTTAACTCGTACCTCAATGCAGAGTGAGAGCCACCCAATCATGGGCTATACCCTAAAATTGCATCCTAGAAAATTTGCATGCCTACCTACTGCAGCCTTTAAACATTGACATGGGTGTGAAAACTTTCTCTGGGTAATAGCCTGTAACTTACTATGCTATCGCTAATGCATCCCAAAGCCATCTTACATAATTCCCCATCTAATCCATAATATCCTAGTCCGCCGAGACTTATCACACCCAAACTGGGTTCCACCGTATCACCGCTGTACCTCTGTATCTAACACCAGATAACAATACCAATTAAGACCAATACCATTGCATTGGTTATCCTTAGCATGAACTCCATTTACCATCTCAAGTCTCACCCGGTAGTTGGTACCCTTGTTATCAACAATCCCTAACCCACTAATGAAAACCCCGCTCGGACACGCTCGGACAGAGCCAACATCACCAGCAGCTCATTCTCCACGGGGTACGCCCACCTGGCACACCTTACGCCAGTAACCGTTCACCTGTATGGGAACCACAGTTCAACCAACACCAGGCACCACAAACGGCAATTCTACCAACTCCCTGCACAACCACCGGCCAACACCGCCTGGCCACCAAACCCTACGCCGGCCAGGCCGTGCACTCTGAGCTGCTACACCGAGAAAGCATGAGCTGATTTCACTCACACGGAGTGTAGAATGGCAAAGTCCGGCGCTCCGTTCCAGGGAAGAAACAAAAAACAGTTACAGCTATGTTACACCTAGCAAATACCTACACCCAATCTCCCAAAATCTGAAAAACACACCAAGCCTATTTCTACCAGCAGCCCAAGTTTCGTTGTCTCATCTAACCTTCAAAGAACCTATAATACCGGGCATTTGCCGACCCATTGCTCATCGACCCTCTTCTTACCGTGATAGCATAACATAAACACAAAAAAACAGACCCCCTGCCGAAAATGAAAAAAAAAAATCAGACAGAAACAACAAACCAGTAAAAAATAAGCATAAAAACCCCGAAAGGAAAAAAAACTTCCTCGTCAATCAATAACATTGATATAAAACCGAACTTATACTCCCCTTGATGTCTTCCAGTTTCCACTGAACACGACCGCAGTAAACGCAAAAACAGTTCAGAGCGAGAACACTGCTGACTTGCGTCAGACCGGACGGCTTAGAACAGAGTGACCGCGCAAATGCACTCAAACCCCGCGCCGTCACCGTCACGTGACACAAGTCGCTCCACCAATCAGAGGAGGCCGCCGCCTTAGCGGCCTTGCCGCCCGGAGGCGCAGGCGGCCGCTCGCCTGCCGCCGAACGCTGCTCGCCGAGGCCGGCCCGGCTCCGGGGCCGCCCCAGAGAAGACGCTCGTAGTATCGCGGAAAAACCGGTTATATCTAGTCTATATAACCGGGCGCATTTTCCGCTTCCCCTTCGAGCTGCCAGCAAACATAGAGACAATTAGCTATACTATGCGTAACCAATCTCAACGCAAACCTCACAACCAAGTCCCTCCAGGAAAACACTGTAGCTGTACAAAAAGGGGCTATTGGTATATTCAGCCCAAATGAACACGACACAAACATACTAGCAAGTATACAAGTCTCAACCGAGACTGCCCTGCCAACGGGCCGCCACCCCTCCCCCCGCGCGGCGCAATGGTGTCCCCACCCAAACTAGAAACCCTGTCGTGTGTGTCCTCCCCCGGAAAAAGTCCTAACTAGAAAAAAACCGGGGGACCTAGCTGGGGAAAAACCACATTTTGTGGAAAAAAAACCATCTTTATTTAAGAGTGTGGTGCGTGTAAAAAAAAGTCCCAAAAATGGTGGTGGGTGGGTGGGAAACGCAAAAACATTTCAGAGCGAGAACACTGCTGACTTGCGTCAGACCGGACGGCTTAGAACAGAGTGACCGCGCAAATGCACTCAAACCCCGCGCCGTCACCGTCACGTGACACAAGTCGCTCCACCAATCAGAGGAGGCCGCCGCCTTAGCGGCCTTGCCGCCCGGAGGCGCAGGCGGCCGCTCGCCTGCCGCCGAACGCTGCTCGCCGAGGCCGGCCCGGCTCCGGGGCCGCCCCAGAGAAGACGCTCGTAGTATCGCGGAAAAACCGGTTATATCTTGTCATATATAACCGGGCGTATATCTACCTTTCGTGGGATTTTTGGTGTCTCCCCGTATGTCGCTCTCCAGAAGACGGGTGAAATCTTATTCATCCATCCCTCCTCCTCTCCTCAGGAGACTGGCGAGCCTCTCTCACCCCTCTCTAACCTCCCCAAGGAGAGCAGTGACCTCATGCCAACTCACCATTCCCTTCTCTTTCTCTTCTTCAGGAGACGGGCGAGCCTCTCGCCTTCCTCGGCGACGTGGTCATCCGTCGGCCTGCCGTCATCTTCAGCGCCGTGCTGCTCGGCCTGGCCGTGCTGGACATCCTGTTGTCCCTCTTCGCCATCGCCATCTGCTCCAGGGAGGTGTGCGCGGCCTCTTCGGCAGCGGGCGGGACGAGACCAGTGGGACCCGGAGGAACAGAGCGACTCTGGCGCTGGCTCGGTCAGCAGAGGAGACAGGGAGTGTATGTGCAACAGGTGAGAGCGTGAGGAGGACGGGAGGGGAGGGAAGAGATGAGGAAGAGGGTGAAGGGAGGATAAGGTAGGGAGAAAGGATGTGAAGTAAAGAAGATAGAGAAATACAGGGAAAGGGAGGAGGGGTAAAGATGAGCAGACTAGAAAGATTGGGTGAGATCGTGAGGCTCGGTGGTGATTATATTTTAATATAGCTTTAGAATATCACTCATGAAATCCTTTTGAATTGGTTTATTGTGGCATTCATTTCATTTCATAGTGATTATGTTGAGCGATAATATTTCCGCATTCAAACCACTCATGGCTGTCGACGGCTCATTTCACGAGGTCACCTCTCCCTCGAGCAGGTGCCGCCGCCCGGCTCTCAGCTGACCAGTGTGCCGGCCTGGCTGCCGGTGCCGGCTCCAGTGCTGCCACCTGGAGCCGTGCTCGCCCGCCCACCCACCGCCGCCTCTGCCTACCGGCCGGCTAGTGAACTAACCGCAGATGGCGCGCAGGTCGTCTACATAGACGGCGCGCGCGTCGCTGTGCACCAGCATCAACAGGTACCGAAATAATGAGCGATGACGCCAAGTGGTTCAAACTTCCAGCCGAGCCGTCACATAAGTCAAGTGTGTAACAAATAAATTGAGCTCGACATCCGCCGAACTTTTAGTTCACATACTTCACCTCGGAGCTAATGATTTCAGACTTCTGTTGTCCGAAGCCGATTATGTAGCTAGGTTTCGCTCGTCTGCTTCTCAATTTCCATTTCCTATTTTTATAAGTCATCCAACGTTCAGTGTTCACTACATGACAATGTAAACCCATTGCAAGACCCCTCAACTCAGACAAGTATCCAACACTGTCCCACCCCGCCTCTGACCTCCACCCCGTTCTCCAGGATCTGGAATCAGGCCACGGAAGACGGGAGCGGCGCCGTCTGAGGCGAAAGACGGCGGCCGCGGAGGCAGCGGCGGCCTCAGGTCCCTCCGATGAGGAGATAGCCTCGAGCTACACAGGGCTGGACCGAGAGATCGCCGAGCAGTTCATTTCGGCTAGTATGGAGCCGGGCTTGACCCTACAGCGAAATGCAAGGCTACAGGAGATAAGCGATAGTCTGCATTCCAGCCTGTAGGGAATGCACTACCGTGTGGGGGAATGTATTGAAATGTAGGGGAATGTATTGTACAGTGCTGTAGGGGAACGTAATGTGGTTTGTATAGGAATGTGCTGCTGTGTAGGGTAATACAAAGTGGTGCACGGAGAAATGTACTTACTCCAGGTCCAGTGTGGGGATACACTGTTGGGTGAATCGCAGCGCATGAGAAGCTTGTGGTATATAGAAAAATGTCTTTTGGGATCCAGGGAAATGTGGTGTTATTGTGTTGAGCGGATGACAGTTGCAGCGATAGGGACGTAGTGAAGCTGGTAGGGAAATCGGCTGAGTTGGAAGTATCTGTGACAGACTATGATGAACACACTGCAGCAAATAGGGAATGACTGAGTGAGCCAGTTGATATTTTGTTTACGAAATGTGATTTACGTTTTGTTAAGTGTGGAAACGTCGTAGATAGTCACCGCCCTAACTCCATACGATTGGGAATAAACGAGCGGGATCTAGACGAGTTTTCAGAGACAAAAGTGACAATTAATCCCGTCACCAAAAATCAACTCAGTAGCATAACGAAGAAGCGTTTATTGCTGCGCGCATCATCCCGAACACTAAGCGGGAAAGACATGTGCATAAGCAAATACATCCGAGGGTAGCAAAACCTCTTTGACGAGCGCGTGGCTAAGCATGCGTGCAGCAAACGGATGTTTGTCATGCACAAACAAACGACACATGGAATGAGTCATGGCATCTCATGATCCATCAAATGGTATCCTACAAACACATCCAGTGCATCCAGTGATCTTCAATGATGAGTGTGATCTGTCATCTGAGTTGTAAATATGACAACGGCGCGTGTCGCGTGCGTAACTCCTTAGTGAGTCTCGCGTTTTGGAGCCGGCATCCTGAAACAGGCCGGACGGGGTCAGTCCGCGTGTCGGCTGACAGTTACACATGCCTGAAGTGTTTTACTAGGTTATTTGGTTTTTTTTTATAATTGTGTTGTGATGTGCTATAATTACCATATGTACAGCACACGCTTTAATAAATGCCACACGTTTGCACACTGAATACTAATATCTACACACTGATGAAAATTGCATTGCAAACTACATTGTAGCCTGTTGAGGAAGTGAAAACTGAGATATCCGTCACAAAGTCGGGCATCAAGGCGTTACGCAGTTAGAAAGCGTACACATGTTCAAAGGAATCGACCCAAAATCCACTCATTTTTTCTTTCCTTCCTTCCTACATCCTTTATATTCTCGTCCTTTGTTTGTTTGTTTGTTTGTTTGTTTGTTTGTTTGTTTGTTTGTTTGTTTGTTTGTTTGTTTCGTTCGTTCCATCCTACATATTTCCTCACGTCCTATCTTCATTTTTTCCCCTCCCATCCTTCCACTTCCCTCTCGTTCCCCGCCACTTACTGCATGAGCGAGATGCGGTCATCGTCCTCATGGCTGCCCATGATGGACAGAGGCGTGAAGAACGCGAACTGGCTCTTGAGCGCCAGCGCGTTCGTCACCAGCATGTCGTGGCCCAGCCGGCGGTTGGCGTCGTCCTGCCGGAAGAGGGCAGCGTTGTAAGGCACGTGGTTTGCAGTGGATGGTCAGTGGTCACAAACAAAAACCGTAGTCGTCATAAGGAGAAAGCCATTACAAAATCGGAAGGAAACACCCTAAAACACTCTTATTAGCTTCAGGTGGTGGGGATGATTCACACAGGTCTTTTATGGCGACAATTCCCTCTTTTCCTTTAGGCCATAACACTCTGATAAAGACATTCACCAGTTTTTCGGCATACTGCAAGCTCTGAGGCCTCTTGCACCAAAATCCTCTTGCACCAATGCTTGA